TTTTTCTCAAAACTTAGTCAAAAGTCCATGGTGTTGTAAAGGCCAGTCACTGAGTACACAGTGATCACCTGGAGTGGTAGGCCGTGGGTGTCCTGGCATATGAGACCACCTCCCATCCCATCCTCACGTCAATACTCCTAGCGCACCCCCTATCCCACTATCCTACCTCAGTGTAACCAGCACTCAGGACCATTACCCTACCAATGGGCAGGTAAGTTGGACCGAACAGCAGTGATAGGCACCAGGGCTGATAGGTTGGCCAGCCCTGGAGGAAGCGGAATCGGACGCGCCTTGTCCAACGGGAACTTCGGACGCCAGGCCCAGACAATACAGGCCCCAAGAGACTCTGGGCCCTAGGATTCAGACAGGGTAGCGCCAATTGACGCAGTCTTACCGTCCTTCTCCTAGCTTAACCAAGGCCATGCGGAACTCTGACTGGCCTGAGCGACTTATACCCCTACCCTTACCACAGGGTCTAAGCCTTATATATAGTCACTAGACAGTTCTATTCGAATATCAGTAGGAACTCCGGTGGCCCATACCTGTCCCTACTGCTGATACTAGACCCCACCAGTGTAGTTCGCAATCTATGTGTGTGTACCCTAAGGCTATTTATGCTTTGTGTATCTATGTATCAAGATGTACAGACAGCAACATGTGTGGAAACTTGTGTATGTAGCCCGTAGGCCATGTATAATTCGCAAGCTGTGTATATATGCCCGAAGGCTGTGTGTGCTTTGTGAATCGATGTATCAAGATGTATAGGCAGCATCATGTGTGTACATTGAAGAGAGAATGGGGTAAGCTGGACAAGGACCCCGCCAAGGTCCGAACCAAGCTCGAACCCGTGACCTTGTAACGTGTAATCGAACGACTCTACCATGTGAACGACTAGCGGAAATGGTACGAACGTGTGATATGCCAGACTGGGGAGATCAACAGAACACCCAAGACCAACACCCCCAAGCAATCCATGTGTCACCCACCCTGCATGAAGGCAAACCTCTAAGGATCTGATTGATGGGTGTAGCCTGTGCGTCCACACCACCACTACCACGCTCGCCTGCCGGCGTCGGAGGAAGCCCCAACGAAGCACCAAACATGTCGTCGCTGAAACTGGCACCGAACTGTGCAGATGCCCTCCCAACCTCTGCAGCCGCGCCACCAACCTCTGCAGACCCGGCTGCAATCTCTGCTGATGCTGCAACAGCCTCTGCAGACGCGGCAGCAACCTCTACAGACTCGGCTGCAACCTCTGCCGATGCGGCAGCAACCTCTGCAGACTTGACTGCAACCTCACTAAACTCTGCAGGGGAGGCAGTGACCTCTGCCGACGCAGCAGCAACCTCTGTTGTCGCGGCACCCTCATCATCCCAGTGTACAGTGCGAGTGGACGATGCAGACTCTCGCCTCGCCCGTCCTCCAGCAGTACAGCCTGCACCACCTGTGTGCCCTGCACCCCCAACACCCGGCCCGCTGCCTCCCCTGCCTGCACCACTGCATCGGTCACCACAGTGTCTCTCGGACCTCCATAAACCACCCGCAGGCTGTGTACCGTCGTCGCCCTCATCGTCGTCGTCGCCACGTCGGCGTGTCGGGGATAGCCGGGATCATCATCGTCCTCACTGCTGCCCTCGTAACCCCTCCCGACACCGTCGTCGTCGTCTCCCTCCTCAACATCTCCCCGACTGCCCTGCTCGTCATGTCCACGACAATCTGTCGGAGCGTGTGGAATATGCCCCCAACCCGATCCTCAGGGCCTCACAGTGGAACGTCACGAGCACTTGAAGGTCGAGGTGGAAGGGGAGGAGGCGCAGGGGGTGTAGTGAAACCACACGTCCGAGGACACATCATCTCGGTGAGAGGAGCGTCGCCGCGATCCTCATCAGAACCTTCGGGCTCTTAGTCCACCGCCAGGTCGTCTGGATCGGACCACGGCTCCGCCTCAATCGGGTCTTGAGCCATAGGGTCAGGCTCGGGATCGTAGAGTCGACGTAGACCGAGTCCAACTCAGTCGGGATGAGCATCGTGGCTAGATGACCGAAATACGTCTCCATGTTGCGCGGTGCCCTCGAAAGGCGATCCCTCTGCCTGCGCTGCACCTGCCGCTCGCACTGCGCCTTTGTGACTCGGTTAGCTGGCCGAACACCCTCGTCACGAGGCGGAGGAATAACGTCCTCTGTCTCCTCATCATCCTCCCATCATGGCAGAACGTACCCCGAGCCCCTCCCCTGACAACGGCGCAATCTCAAGTTGGTGGACATCTCCACCAATCGAGTAAGATTGATGAAACCAAGCTACGCCTCTTCACCTGAACACGCTCATGGACGGCCCAGTTCCTCTCCGTGGAAGAGGCGCACGTCCATGTGTGCGTCAGGCGAATGGAGTAACTTTGAAGGAGAGGGATCTCGTCCCCGTGCTGCACCCACCACTATCCGACTTGCGACGTCTCCTTCTTCCCTCTGCAGGAGGCTGCGTCCTTGTCACCCTCAACCCCTCCGTACGTCCAATCGCCCTCTCGACTATGGAACTCCGCTAGCTGCGTGCGCAACGTCTGATGCAAATCCTCATCATCGCCAGTCTGTCGGCGAAGGTATCGCAGTGCCTCCTCAGTCAGTGTCTTGTCGTGCTCGCTCCGCCTCGCTGCTCCGAAAAACGAGATGCTCATGTGGTGCAGGTTGAGGAGGTGGGCCATGCACTGTGCCGGCTCCAACATATGATCCACCCGCGCCTGACAAGCTTGAACGATGATGTGAAACTCCTCCTTCGACGTCCTGTTCAGTCTCACTCTTGCCACCCTGTCAACCATGGTAAGGACCCACGACTACATGCGAGTCATGATGCGGCCCCCTCTGTCCAAACGGCGTAACTGTCGTAGCAAGTTAGCAATTGTATCACAGGCGTCGTCAGCTCCACGATGTCCTCCACGAGTCCACGTGCTCCTAAAATGGCGTGTACCGTACCTGATGACGCACCCACTTAGCCTGCAAGAAAATAAACCTCCTCCATGCAGTCCGCAACCAATCATCGCTCATCATCAACACCTCCTGCGCTCTACGACGATCCAACAACCTCTCCAACATCAAATAGTGAGTGGCGAACCTCGTCTGCGCAGGGTACACAAGCTCTCTGCCTCGCCGCTAAGCCGGGGGTGGTGCAGCGTTGGAACTGGCCGCAGCTGCGAAGGTGGAAGACGAGTGGGCGGCAGAGTACCGTCGATAAAGGCTGAGAGCTGCCCCGTGCTCTCTGAAGTAACGCACGACCGCTCGAGCCCTGATGATGGTGTCCTCCCTCTTTCCAATCTTTCTGTTGGTGTCGTCCTTCGCGATGTCTGACAACAACAAGCTGCAGAGATGGACTGCACAAGGAAGCCAAGTGATGCGGCTGTACTTGACCTCCTCCTTCGCGAGCTTGGAAGCAGCCACGTACGCCGACACGGAGTTAGTGCAAATGGCGTTGACATTTTCAACACCGAACTTGTCGAACACGTCGCTCCACCACGGCCTCAGTTGTTTCCTGAACAACACCGTCCCATTGCACAGTCCTGAAAAGGTAGGCTCCCATGGGTCCAGCAGCAAGGAAGCTAACTATCTGGCAGTGTCGTACCCCCGTTCACCGTTCACGGGGTCTGTGGACGGAGACCGATCATGGAGTTCATGACACGGGAGTTCATGGAGTTCATGGAGAGCGTGATCGTTTTTTTTTTTTTTTTTTCGCTG